AAGAATGGAAAGAAAGAGGAAAAGAGAGAAAAGGGACAGAAAGTGAGAAAGAGTTAAAGATAGAGAAGAAATAACTAAAGAGATTAAAAGTGAATATGAGAGGTAGATAGAAAGATAAAGAAAGATAAGAGAAAATTGAGAAAATTTATGTGAGATGGTAGAGAGAGTAGGGAAGGAAGGGAGTTGAAAATAAAAACAGAGAGAGAGAGAAAGAGAGAAACAGAGAGGGGGAGAAAAAAGGACGTAGGGAGGGAGCGTTTGAAGGTTATAATGAGGTAGAGATTGAGAAAAAGATAGAGAGTGGGAGAGAGGGCATGGATAAGAGAGATAGAAAGAGAGAAAAAGCTAATCACAGAGAGTGAGAGAGAAGTAGAGAGTGAGAGAGATGATAAGAGAGGGATAGAGCAAGTGAGAGGTAAAAATAGAGGGAGGAAGCGAGAGCAAGAAAAGAGATAAAGAAAGTGAAGGAGGGAGGGAGAGTGAGACAGAGAGAGGGTGATTGTGGAAGGGAGGGAGAGAGAGTGAAGAGAGTAAGCTTGAGAGGGAGATGATTAATATAGAGAGAAGAGAGAGAGAAAGAGAGCGAAAGAAGGGAGAATGTGAGAGAGATAGAGTAAATAAGCAAGTTAGAGAGACTGAGATAGAGAGGTTAAGAGAAGGAGAGAGAGATTAGAGGTAAAGAGTGGGGGATTGATAGAGGGAGGGAAAAGAAGGAGAGAGATATGGAGAGAGGTAAGGCAGAGATGGTAAAAGAGAAAGAGATAGAGAGTGTATGATATATATTTATTTTGTTAACATGCATTTAAAATTATACATCAATTTTAGGAATAGAGGACAAAATTGGATTGACTATAATTTTACTTGCTCTTTTTCATTGCCTGAAATAATAGTCAATGTAATATTTGATAAGCTAAAAACTCGATGGAATAAATATTCTAGTACAACTTTCAAAATATTAGAAAAAAAATAATAATAAGCTGGCTAATCTTTTGAATTGGCATGAGCATTTCTACTTATAGACATAACTAGCTTTGTGCTAAAATTTTACATCAAAATAATCTTTAATAATTAAATAAGTAAAGGATATAATCATATTGATATCAATTTAGGTGTTTGGAGGGTATTTAGGAAGGGGTTTGCATCCCACCTCAATAACTTTTTGCAAGAAAATGAACTGTATTCTTCAAATAATAAAATATCTAATGCATTATGCTAATCAATTTTTTATATTACGAAGTTATTTGTTTTACTTCCATTTTCTCATTTATATTGGTAATAGTTTTAGAAGTATCATATGATGTCTTTATAAGCTTTACCACATTCATATCATTTGGTCGGCATCCAGTTTGATAACCTCTCTGGGTCCTACTCAGGCTCATTTTCTCATTTCATCATAATTTTACTCTTAGCTGTGCAAATCATCATCATATGCCAACTTCTCTCACAAAATAATATTTACTTTTTTCTTGAACATCAAATTCTAAAGCATTTAAAATTTTTAAGCATGGATATACACATGTGATCAATCAACTTGCATTAACATGAAATGAAGATAAAATATAATATGAATAAATCAACATTTAGGTTTAAGTATGCATCATATTTTATTAACTAAATTTGAACAAACTTATGTAGAAATATGTTGAACTCTGTTTGAACACAATAGTTAACTGCAGTAATTTACAAATAATAGTGCCAGGAATAATTTGCTCTCTATATTAGAAATTCTGCGTCTCAACATATTTGTAGAATACTCTTTGGGATGAATTTCTTTATTTCTACTAGAAACCTCATTCTTTTTCTGCACTATCTGATAGAGATATTGTTTTCCTCAATTAAAAAAAAATTCCCTTATGAACACAAATCTATCTCTCAATTATATATATATTTGGAGAATAATTGAGATACACACACACACACACACACACATATATATATATATATATATATATATATGTATATATATATATATATATACATATATATATATATATCTATATATTTTGCCTCATAAGATTATTTTCTCATTCAAACTTCTAAGCTCAACAGTTATAGAAAAGATCACGAAATTTGGGATTTACTTTCTAATCTCTAGCCTCTCCTCCTCCCATCTTCTGCTCTTCTTTTCAATCTTCCTGTCCTCTGGTCTATTTTCCTTTTTTTTTTCCTTTCCACCTCTTTCCTTCTGACGATTTCACTACTCCAATACTTCTCTACTTTGGGTTACTGTTAGTTACAGGAAAAGGAAAACAGAAAACTGGAATAAGCTTAAATACTATTGATTTATATCATAATATGACGGATTTTTTTTTTTGTAAACTCATATCCTTAAATATTAGTCGTTTGATACCTCACCGACAGCTAGCTGCATGTCTCAGATTTGTGGGAAAATAAAATTGCTACCGTAACATTAGATAGATTTTAGGAGAGATTTTAGTGTTATCTGTTTTTTACACTTTTGTTATTACATCATATTCTCCTCTATTGTCATGTCTTGTTTTTTAATTTTTTTCCTCTTTATGCCATGTTAATCTCACCTTTTAGTAGGTGTAAGGTTTTCTTGATCAGCTGCTGTAAATAATAACTCGCGTTGAAAGGAACGGTGCTAATAGTTACAGTAAATTTCTCCACACCGCATAATAAATATTTCAGGAAATTGGTGCTGGAACGC